CCCACAACCGTACCAACACCCCACAATCTCAAAACTTTTGTTTTTTATTTTTTTTTTATAGACAAGAATAGGAGTCATTTACTTATTACATCCATAATTATCTAAATTAGCGATTTCGGTTCGGGATATCTACTCTCTGTGCTTGAGTAATTATAAAAGTTGTTTCTAATTTTCATGTTTTAATCTATTCAAAATATCAATATATGGTAGTAGACTCTAAAAAAATGAAACATTATCTGTTAAGAGATGTTAACCGAGCAGCTGAGTCTCCGCCAACTAACTAAATCTCTCAAGTCGTCGCCATCGTGAGCAAACAATATTTGTTTTTTTTCATTTTTTAAGTAGAATAGTAAAAATAAGAAAAATCTTAATTGGTTCCATTCATCAAGACGTCCTGAATACATCATCTTAGACGGTCAGACAAGTGTGTCACTTCACAATCTCTCCAAGGTGGTGGATGTCAACATAGTTTCGAACATCCTGCCATTTTCATTCCGAACACCTTGTCTTTGTCACTACGAACTTCCGGATCAGTTACTCACAATAGATTGCCAGAGTTTGTTACGAACTCCTGGACAAATTTCATTCCAACCATCCTGTTTTTCATTATATTACATTGGCTTTTGTCACTGAGAACTCCATTCCGAACACCATGTCTTTTTTCTTATGTCCAGATATCGTAACGGGCTATTTCAACCCGAGTTTGTAATAAAAAAGTGAGATGAAAAGTCACTTTTCCGTTCGTCATTATCAAATGGCTTACTTATCAATATCGAAATTATATTATTTCTCTCCTTTGTTCAATATTTTTTCTCTTGGAATATCGATTGACAAAGCAATAAAAATAGAACAAAAACACATAAATGAAAACTTTCGAGAAGATAATAGACGATCGCTATTATAGTATTTTTGTCGTTTTAACGCTACTGATGTATGAGAACAACGATAGAAAGAATGGCTGAATAAGAAAATCACAAGGGAGGGAGCTCTTACAGTTTTACCTCAATCTTTCTTAAAGAATAAACTCCAATTTCAGACTTTGGAACCTTTAACACCGAAGAATTTTTAATAAGATGAAATAAAAATGTTAAAAAATGTTTTTTCGAATCAAAAACTTCAGTTGTCAAAGGTTTAACGCGTTTAGCCCGATTCGACGTTATGATTCCAGAGGAGAGATGGTTAAATGTTAATCAAATGAGAAGATAAATGAGACGTTTTGACACAGGATAAGTGCTGCGTCATTGCATCAAATTATGCTCAAAGGTGTTTTAAAAAACAATGGAAATCGAAGCAACATCTAGAGATGAGGGTGTATGTTTGTTGATGTCATGCATATGAATACTCACACCCATCGATATATTTGCTTCTTCTAGAGTAGAATCAATTAATTATGTTGAAAAAGATGGAGAAAACATTAAAGAAAAGAAAAGATGAAAGAAATGGAACGTTGACACTTGCTAGTAACAAGCAACTTATTTACAAGAGAAGAGAATAAGGATTAAAAGAGAGATTGTATCGTTAGCAATATATTAACTCTCTCTGGTGACTATTTCTGCTGTCGGGTCATCAACAAGCGAATTGTGAATATGACTTATTAGTAAGAATTCATGCAACATTCTAGTAATATGTTTTCTTACTTGTTAAGGTGTATGTAACTTATGTAGATAAAATAAAGACTATTAAATAACAGCAGTTTAAGTTATTCAAGACTGCTCACAAGAAAACATGATACAATTGCATTTTAAACGAGAAAAATTTTCTTATACATGCGCATCCAAATATTTTCACACTAGAACGTGTGTATATATGACGTGCAGTTCTAATTTCGATGTGTAATGGATAGGCCGATAAGTGAATAGTATCTTCAAAGACAGCGATTAATTATCTGTGAAGAAATAAGATTTGAAAAACTTCAAATTTGAACGAAAAATAGAGAAATGAAGGAATAAGAGAATAGAGGGATATAGGAATATAAGAATAGCAGGGAATAAATGAAGAGCAAATGTGCCAATGTCTGCACTAGTAACGAGTGAGTGAAAATGAATGGTCCTCTCAGTATTTTTCATGTGACTCATTCATTTTTCAGTGTTTAAGAAAGAATTTTTTTACCAAAAGGTTCCTCGTGAAATTCTCTACAAAACGTATATATTTCTATTATCTTAAATAATCTCCATTATTTTGTGACATGTGATACAATCTATTCGTCCAAGAATTACAACTTTCAAACACAACATCTTTTCGAATTTTTTTCACAGCTTTTTTAAATTCTTGGATCATTGTTGCTTTAGATGTCACTTTGTTCCAGTTGATGACCTTCACAAATTCATTCCAAATACAGTAATCCAATAGGTTGAGGTCAGGACTAGTAGGTGGCCAATGGTCTTTTTCGATAAATACTGGAAAATTGTCTCAATCCAATTTTTTTTCTATTTTCTCAACATTCTTTGCAAGAGATTTAGTTCTCCGATAATGAAAAGCGAAGATGTACAGAAAGTGGTAGCCTTGAAACATCAAAATGATGATAATCAAGCGAAGGTTTTTTCGTGATTTGAATGGGGTAATCGGTTTAAGAACTATCAAAAGATGGTACAAAATGATCGATGAAACTGGTTCTATCAATTTATCAGTGTCGTCAGGTCGTTCACGCACAGCTCGAACTAATGCCAGCATCAAGAAGGTCAAGCAAAAGCTACAACGAAAAAAGGTATCGACTAGAAAAGTTGGACTTGATCTGGGTATATCTCAAAAAAGTGGTCACAGAATTCTTCGGGATGATCGGAGCTGTCGACCTTATAAACATGTGATCGAACCAGCATTTAACCGAGGAACATAAAGAAAAAAGAAAAAAGTTTGCTAACTAGATACGAACAAACTTTCGAAAGCAGGAAACATTAAGAATTCTGTGTTCTCACGAAAAGATGTTCGACAGTGATCGTGTTTACAATACCCAAAACGATCGTATTTGGGCTGAAAATTGCGATGAAGCTAATCAGAAAGATGGTATTCATCAGAAAAAAAAATTTCCTGTGAAAGTCATGGTTTGGCTTGGTGTTTGTTCAAAAGGTGTATCTCCATTGGTGAACTTTGAACAAGGTACAGTCGACCATGATCGATACATTAAAGAGCTGCTTCCTGTGGCACTTAAATATGGAAATCACGTCTTTGGCAATGACTGGACATTCCAACAAGACGGTGCTAGACCCTATACTCATCATTTAACACAACAATGGTGCCATGATAATTTTCCAGTATTTATCGAAAAAGACCATTGGCCACCTACTAGTCCTGACCTCAACCTATTGGATTACTGTATTTGGAATGAATTTGTGAAGGTCATCAACTGGAACAAAGTGACATCTAAAGCAACAATGATCCAAGAATTTAAAAAAGCTGTGAAAAAAATTCGAAAAGATGTTGTGTTTGAAAGTTGTAATTCTTGGACGAATAGATTGTATCACATGTCACAAAATAATGGAGATTATTTAAGATAATAGAAATATATACGTTTTGTAGAGAATTTCACGAGGAACCTTCTGGTAAAAAACTTTTTTCTTAAACACTGAAAAATGGATGAATCACATGAAAAATACTGAGAGGACCATTCATTTTCACTCACCCGTTAATATAAAATAGATTGTATGCGAAATCAATGATAAAATTATCCTAAAATAGATACTACTTCATGGTGGCTTCTATGATTCAATGACTTCTCAGAAAGCGTGGTGAACTTGATTCAATGCCAATGACTGTCTGATTCACACTGACGTCATGGAAAAAAAATATGACAAAGAATATAAATCTTGAAAAGGATTGCACCACATCAATTTAACTCAAGGTGCTTCATGCATTTGTTAACGTATCATCATCAGTGCAATGAAAGGTATGCATTGGAATAAGTCATAAACTATTGATCTTTTCTTTCATCAATACTTTAGATTCACGCCTTAAAGACAAAAAACTACACAAAACATTAATTCGAATAGTCGAATGACATATGATCTATCCTTTATAGGTGATTTTAAGATAGGGTAAGGCTTGCGCATAGCGATAGACTATAAATTCGTCTTTGTTGGTAGTTCCTGGTGGTATACCATGCACGGAATGAAATTCTTTGGGTGCTGCCTTCAGATTTCCATCGGTATTTTGCAGTGTTTGTTGTTTACTCAAAGTGACTTTGTTGTAGAACATCACGCGTGTTTGATCAGTGGCATCCGGTTGTGCAAAGACATGTGATACTGCAGGATTCTCAGCAAAATAAGCTCCATGACCTACACGAAAGCAAAAAAAATAATCAAAACCTGAGCTTTTTGCTAGAATATTTACCCCATTTCTCAGAATTCCAATAACGATCATCGAATCCATCGTTTAATATTCCATCAATAGATGTACCACTCGTGCCATGAAATAAGAGTCGTTCATTCGGATTTCCTCCGACACATTCTTTAGCAATCAGCTGTTTTATCGCTAGATATGCCTCCTCCAATGATGGATTTTTAATCTGAACAATAGAATGAACTTTGACTTGAATGCCAACATTGTTTTGGAGCTGTTGTACTATTGATTGGTAGATATCAGCAATTTGAGGTACGGGAACAACGATAACATCACATCTAGGTGGTGGATTAGGAATGAAGTTCAGATCTGTCCCTGTTTTCGTCCAACCACGAGAGATCATTTTTTGAATGCGGTTATTAATGGTATGATCGGTTGGGCGTAACAATTGAAAGTGTTTATGTTTGATATTATCCACAATTGCCTCGAGATCAATCGAGTACGGTTTAGGTCGCGTGTCAACTCTCATACCCAGTTCTTTGGTATAATCCTTTTCTAATGAAAGATTATTCACATCGAAATCGATTCGATCATGTGTGAGTGCGACATGTGGTTCGATAAGATCCATCATGAACGGCCCAGTTTTGGCGTGTTCATCCAAGAGAAATATGTACCTCCAGCCTTCTCGCACGTAACTATACTCAATCTGATATTTATGCAAGAAGTCGAGAAACTTATCAAGATCGAAATATTTATGCACAGGCAGATGGCAATCTAGATCAGTTGGAACAAATTCTTTATTGAGTTCAGGAACCTGATCTCCCGCTGTGTTAGTGCGATATGTAACCCATGTTGATGGATTTCCAGTTGGACGAGCCTGATAATGTCCGATAATCCAGTCTCGAACAAAGCCACCCTCGACATGGCATTCGAACTGGCAAACAACAATCCAAGCGACTACTTCCATACGAGTTTCTCGTGTTGCTTTCGAACCTCGCAATCCATTCCATAAATCGATCGTCGTTCGTTTCGAATCGGTTACATGAGAAATCCTTTCTTCAATATCGAGACAGGATTTACGCATTGGTTGTTTGATGATTCTAGGTAGTACAACTGAAAAGAAGAATTAGAGTCGACTGATTTGTCGGAGGCTTACTTGCATCAGGATGACGTATAACGGCCGAGTCTTTCAACCAATTTTTGAACGACTCAATTTCATTTTTCACAGAATGATATTGAGAATCTCGCCCTTCAATATTAACGTCACATGTTGCAGCACCGACGCCCGTGGTAATTGTCACTTTGACTTGTCCTTCATTCTCCCAACGCCATATCATTGGATTGAATATTTTAGTCATTTTTGTCACACTCTTCAAATTCCGATCCATTCTTTTATGGTCATCAGGCTTTTCTATAGGAACATCATTGGTCAGGGGAAATTTTGGGTTCGAACTAGCTTTTGAATGAGAGCTCGTTCAGCCTCGATCACAGAACCCGATGGACCCTGCAAAGTGAGAACATGTTGATTCGCTTGCATTTGAACATCAGAATAGAATGATGTCATGTTGTTCAAAAGGCCTCCTGTATTCAGTTCATATTCTTCGACTACATTGATGTTCGTTTTTCGTTCAATGTGCATCTGAAGCCAGGATGATTGGAGTCGACCAACTAACGATAAGACAGCATTAGCTCGAACGGATGATGAATAACGAATATCTCGAGCGAAAACGATAGGAATCGGAGGTAGATTTTTTGAGCGCGATAAAGTCGAATGATGATCCATAACCGCATATTCTTCCTTCTTAGAATGATATCGAAGGAACCGATGATTTCGACCGTACAATTCTTTCATTGACACATAGACATTATCACCGTATCCTTTCAATAATGATTTCGCAATCGCTTCTCAATCACCACTGGAAATTTATGCTTTTTTAGCGTAGACAGGCAGCTTTTTGAATGATTTTTGTAATGCATCATATCGTCGCACTGCACGATTCAACACGTGCCGTACCGACATAAGCTTTCCTCGTGTTTGACAGAACAAGTCCAATCTAAACTCACGAATTCCAAATCTTTCTCGCTCAGATAATAATTTGTTTACAACTTTCAGAAGAGTCATAAAATCACCATCGACTGATTTCATTTCAGGTGGCACAGATTTCAGGAATAATGATGTATTGAGGACACTTAAAACAGCCGATAGTACAACAAGATCATGACCGCATTGGTTTTCCATCAAAGCCGACAGAACCGCCTTTACCATAGGCAATGTACCGAAATCTGGTAATTGGGCGATCGCACGACCAGTCTGACTCAATCGCTTCGATGATGATAGAATTTCTAAGAAGAAAGAGAATCCATCTTTCAAGTTTTCGGTCGATTACTTACCTAATCGTTCTAGTTCTTCTATTGCGGCCTCAATCAATGTCGATTCAGGGGGATCTGGAAGGAATTTCTTCAGATGAGATAACCCATTGTCTAAAAAAGATCGCCGTAATGAAAATTCTACATCGATTAAATTCGATTGACACACATGAGGTTTGGGGTAGGTTCGTCGTTCCATTTTTGAATCATACAGAGCATGATATTCACCTGGATTGGTTCGTCCAAGTCGACCTAAACGTTGTTTAATGGTCGATTCTGAAGCAGGTACTTCTTTCAAAGTTGTTTGTTTCGCTTTAGGATCGTAGATGGATACGTTGATCATACCCGTATCCACGACATATTTCAACAACGGAAATGTTAGAGATGTTTCCGCAACCGTAGTAGAGAAGAAAATAGTGCCATGCTCAATACATCGTTGTTGTTCACTCGCCGATTGTGATTGAACAAGTGGATGAGCAATGACTATGCCGTGACTAAGTTTGTCCAGTAAATTACAATACTGATAGACATCGGTGACACTGCTAACAAAACAGAGAATTTGATCGTGTCGTTGCCGTTTACGACATAATTCTTGTACCACATCAAGAATGTTCTCTTTAGGTCGATAGATTGTCTCGACCTTATGAAGAGTTTGGCTGAATGGCATTTGATATTGATCGAATTTTAATTGTGGAATTTGGCGAAACAGATTTGGGACGGATTTATCGAGTGTCGCCGATGAGATTATTACTTTAAGCTTCAATCTCAATGATGGTTGTTCGGTAAGAAGACGAGCAATGAGTGCTAGGCATAGATCGATGTTAATCGATCTCTCATGCACTTCATCAACGAACAGAACGATACGTTTATCCCCTCTGATTTCATTTTCAATAAAGTTTGAATTGAATAAAAGGCGTTCTTTGAGGAGACCATCTGTTAAATACAAGATTTGAGCATCAGTATTGCGTTCAGCACCACTCACAGACCAACCAGCTAATGGAAATCGATCTTTTATATTCATCATCGTTTTATTCACTCGATTGCAGATCGATGTACATGGTAAACGGTGAGGTTGGGTGACCCAAACTCGATTGTATCCTTCTGCAATCAATAATGCTGGTAGAAGGGTAGATTTTCCTGATCCAGTCGAAGTGGCAATGGTTACAACTGTGTTCTTTTCTATTTTGTCTAATAAAGATTTTGATGATTCATACAAAGGTAATTTCAGAAGACATGAACGATAATACAACATAATGCGCTGTAAGAGAGAAGCTGTATGACGAAATTGATCCTTACTTGTGCCGATGAATTTTCGATTTTTTTTGAGTTCAGTCTTCGCTCTGTTGATAAATTGGTTCATCACTTGCAAAGATGCAGTAGATAGGACTATTTGAAATCTCGATGGTCGAGTGACTACTTGCTCATTGACGAATTCATCCAGTGCTTTATGTTTTAGTGCTTCGATCTCACCAGAAAACGAATGATTCTTCAAGTACTCATTCGTCTTCTCATGTATAGCAACCCATGATTGAAAACCAGCATTTTCAATACATTGAGAAACGATGTCTTTCGCTTGTTTGATAATATAATCATCAAAATTTTTCACATAAGTTTCCATTTCGTTCTGGATCAGTTTTCGTAAAATTTTGGCATAACATTTCCAATCTGATAGTGAAGGAATATTCTCGATGATCAATGATCGATGGATGCCATTGATTATTCGATGCAATTGTCGTTCATAGTAATTTTTCGCTGATCGAGTTAGATTGGACAATGTTCGAATTCGTTGGAGGATTACTTTGAATTCATCATGATGGGGTTGTAAACCAATTACAGATATACAATAAGCAGTGTTTCCTTCTCGAATAGTGACTTTGGGAATTCTTCCTTCGATCAACTCGTCTAACTCTTCGACTTCATTCAGATGATCGATTAGATCAGCTAATTTCGTATACAAAAATTTTTCTATAACAAACGCTTCTATATTAATATAATTGACGGTTTTGATTTGGCTCATTACTATTTTTGCTGCTTTTTCTCGCTTGCTGTATTTGTCAACTTGTTGTTGCATTTGTTCCAATCGCTCTAGCGCCTGTTTTAGCTGTTTTTCTGCTTCTGGATTAGATTCCTGCTTGCGTTGAGTTGTTAGTTCAATCCGTCGCTGTTCGTGTTCAATTTTATCTTTGAGCTTTTGATTAACCGATCGAACTTTAGCCATTATTACGTCAACGAATTGCTGATTTTCATCCGCATTGCTTTTCTCAACTAATGCGTTCTGCTGCAGTTGGCCAACAGTTGGATGGAAAAATGCCTCTGCAGAAAGATCAGCCGCTGTTTCAGATTGAGCAGGAGCGTCTTGAGAATTATCAGTACTCTCTTCACTGTTTTGATATTAATCATCGTCATCATCGACGTCGTCAATATCTTTTATATCAGCCCTTTCCGCATTGTCCGAACTATCATCATCCACATCATCATCGCCATAAATGTTCCCCTCTTGATCATTTGCACCTTTGGTGATAACATCTCGTAGATGTTTTGTAGTGAGAGGAATCGGTTCCACATTCGTCATTGACTGATAATTATCAATTTCTACGATCTTATGTTTCTTTCTTTCAGTATTCGAGATCAATTTGGGAATCTAACGAAGGTAACCTGAAATGGTTTGATCATTGTTTGCCAGGAAAAATGTGTCGAAGTTGATGCTTAAATTCTCTCCAATACTATTTATATGCATTATTATAATTTTGCGTCGCATATTGATCGCATTTTCCAACAATTGATTTGTTTTCGTATCGCATCTGTACCAAGTGTTGAGTTGAGGTTGAAAAGTTTTGTCACTCATTTCTGGAATGCTTTCTACTTCCATCGTTGGAGTAGTATTTGAACGAGCACTCGTATTTGGATGTTTCAGTAGCATGATTTGCCAGAGAGCCTGGCAATCAAAACTGAAAACACTCGATCCACGGTAGCGAATCCAAGCGACCTTGCCCTCTGGATCGTCGACATAATTTCCTGATCGAAAGAAATCTATCATGGAAATATAATAAAGATAATTTTTTCCCAACGATAGATAAACTTGTTCTTGAAATTCTTTGGATGGTAATAGAGCTTCATGAAGTTGGGCAGCACCAACTTTGGAAAATTTGTACCATTGAGGATCTCGAATAGGTTTGTATTCCCACCAACCGTCGGCCATGGGTCTTCTTGAATCATCGGAAAAGTTACAGTCTGGTAAATCTGAGGGTGTATCCGTCGAATATTTAATAATTAGATAATCTTGAAAATATTGTTGGATATTGGCATGGTGTTTCCCTGCCATAATTGGGGTTTGGCCCATTTGATTCCGAATGAAATAATCAGCACCATGTTCGACCAAATATTTTACAAGGGTTAAGTGGCCAAGCGAACAAGCACGATGAAGGGCCGTGGAGGAAGTCACCTCAGTTATATCATTCTCTTGTCGTTGATTTTGAGCATTGATTGAACAGTGTGCCTCTTCAATTAGATATTGAATTATGTCTAATCGACCATGACGTACTGCGGAATACAGTAATGTCGTTTGCCATAGACCAGATTTGTCTTTCCATTCAGGATATTCTTCGAGAAAGTTTTTGACCGGTGATAGTCTACCACGGAATGCGTCAGTAAAAGCGGTCACAGACATGAGTAAACCATTTAAATCGTGACTCAGTGTGTTTAAGTCTTCCAGTTTAAGCGGTGGATGAAATTTCTTTTGCTCCGGTTTATAATGGTATGTATGAAAAAAATCGAGTAAGAATCTCTGACTCTTCTTTGATAAATTAGGGAGATCTTGTTCGAGCGTTTCTTCGATGATGCGAGTCATTAAATCCAGGAAGCCACTGCTTCTATCATCCCCTGGTGTGATCTTGGATGTATCGTTCATCAACAAATCATTTTCTTGAGAAACATCTACTAATCTATTCGATTGAGGTTGCAATAATCCTCGCTGTTGCTCTTCACTGCAGAGTATCCAGCTTTCGATACACTGATTGACCCAATTTATGATAATACCCAGACATTGTTTCAGTGATATCTCATCATCTGTAGTTGTCATCTGAAATCAATAAAATGGTTGGAAAGAATGGAATGACTGAATTTTGCAGCCTTAAATACAAAAAGATTCTTACGACTTTCTTCCTCCCTCTTTTCCTCGAAAAAGATGCTGAAGTCATTGCCACGTTCATTCACTCTAGTTGGAAGAAAAATAATGCGCTGATGAAATGGCACACATGTTTTACTTTTTATTTCTCGATTGAAAAATAATTGGTTTTTTCCGTCTTCGCAGCTTCAACGTGTCAGTGCTGGCATCTCTATTAAGCAAGAAAAAAACATGTTTATTATTGCGATGATTCAGAATAAGTGAGCAAGACGTTCTGTTTATTCACTACTATGGACAAAATTAACCCTACACTTTATATTTTCATCTAAAATATAGAGTTTATGATTAGAAGCAGTTTTCTTCGATATATATGAAAAGTACAAATGCAGATGATTATAATACAAATAAAACTCTAATATGAAGATATCAACTGTTGATATACTTTGTGAGTGTTTTTAATGTATGCTTGAATAACATTTAATGATAAGCCATTTAAAGCTTCATTGACAGCATTCTTTAGTTCATATTATGATTTTGTATTCTTGCGGGTGTTGGTGCAGATCAGTCAATGACTCATACACCCATATCCACACTCTACATCAGTGGGACCAATCTGGTTCTGATCATGTATTTGTTAAATTAATTGATAACGAAGATCTGTGACATATTTTAAAATATATATGTTGAAAGAGCAAACATTTCTCTCCGAAATGCACGATCAAATAATATTTTAACAGTGAAGATAATGCAACGACGAGCAAATCATTTACCGGGATCAGAAAATTGTTTTGATTTCGATGCCCATCTTTAGCTTGAAGATCTATGTGTACCAACATAGAGTAGACCTCTAGAGCCTATGAATACTCTCACAGAATACGCTTTAAGAATCTATGGATACTTCCATAATATAGAGCTTGAAGATCTATGGGTGCCCCCTACAGTATAGATTTTGAGAATCCATAGGTACGTTCATAAGATAAGGCGTGAGGTATTATCAAAATGTTATATCTCTCATAAAAATTACTTAATTACTTAGTTTTATGTGAATTAATTGTTAAATAAAAGCATTTAATATTAAGTGATTAAGTTTTCAGAAGAAAAACTTAACATTTAATATTAAGTGTTTAGTAAAATACTTAATTACGTTTGTTAATTAAGTTACGTTAAATCAAATGGTACACCCCTATTCATAACGATATCTTTATGATGTGTCTAGAATGAGAGTGAAAAAGAGGAAGCTATTGTACAATTATTCTCAATCTGCTATAAATTAGCGCTTACTACTAAGTCGTTACTGGTGTAATTAAAAAACGCACTTTCGACGTGTATGCACACGTTTGTACTCATTCTAAAAAAGAGTTCTTAGTGTATATGTGAAAAAGGTAACAAATACATGCAGACGCGTTTCTGAATCTCTTGTAAAAACATTTGTATACATTTACGTTGCACTTTCAATTGAATTCTGTCATGATTGATAAAACCTAACTTCTATCGCTGCAAATAATTAAGTCTACTACAGTAAATACTTCTGCTGACTCAATAAAGTTTCCACAGTGCATTAAAATGAGTAAGTAGTCATGAAACAGACGGGTGCTAGCCATAGTAGTAGTCTTTATAGCTACCGATGTTCAATCAGCAAGACTAGTAATATCTAGAGTAAAAATGTAAACACAAGTTCAGCACGTTGCATCATCACACAAATGTCATTTAAATTTTAAGATTAACTTAGAATCGTATATTATCGCATTTAATACCTATGAAAGTCAGGAATTGAAGGGTGTAGGTGTGGGTGTGAGTGATTGTGTTAAAATTTTGCATCACCATGGCACTGGTCTCGATAGCGCCACGATTAACTCCTTTTTGTATAGACACTAGTGGTACTGGAACCAGTTGCCCTGGCGATGCAGAACTCTAACACATAACCACCCACACCCTCTATTCTTGTATTAAGAACAATAGGATCCATATCTGTCGTAAAGTCACTTACCAATACAGCAAGTTTATTAAGAACTTCAACTACATGATCAGCATGAACAGTTCATATGACTGTTCATCTAGTTTCGAGATGTTAGTCAAATTTTGAGGTATCGGATCGTTCATTGTAGACAAGCTGAATTACAAAGAGAGAACATACCAAATAATGTTGAGACTTCGAGAAACAACAATCGCAGACAATAGCAGTCCCCGGATGTTGGGCAAAGATGTTTCTCACTCCAAAATGAAGAGTTCCACTCTATTGAGAATGATGTAAGCTATGTCTAGAAATTACACTATAAGGTTATTAAAAATCGAAAAAATACTAAAAGCAAATGATTCCATAATGTTAACATGCCCAGTGGAACGTGTATAACTTTTGAATGAAACAACATAGAAAGGTCGGATTCATCTAGCGTTTTGGACCTTGAACTAATGCATCTATTGCACTCCTCACAATTAACAATCCATGTAATTGCCAAAGAGCATCTCTTCTTCTCCCGAGTATCCTTAAGTGACTATTTGCCTGTGAAGCAAACCTCTTCGTCGCTAGGTGACATTGTGCAGTAGTACTGCCTCTTTTGAATGGTGAAAATCGCAGCTCTTTATCTTTGTTCTGATCAGAGGTTCGCCGAAAAATACCCACCCCTTTTCTATTTCGGAATAAGTAACACAAAATCCGTAAGAAATAAATAAAAACTATTTAAATCTCGTATCTGTGAGATGTACTAGCTCCCTCTATGAATGAACTTTAAACTCTTTCTCTAAGAAATTATAAAGCATAAAAAAAATCTTCAATTACTCACTTCATTTCAACTTTCATATGCAGTTACGACTAATCTCCTATTTATTCTTTTGTCTGACTTTCTTTTCTTCTATAACTTTGAAGAGAGACAGCAATGAAAAAGACACAGCTTACAAATTAAAAATAATTCTTTTTCGTTGCTTACGTATGTAAAAGCAAAAAACAAGTTTCTTCCAACTTATATGTTACTTTAAATCATTCTTTTCGTTAATAAATATAACAAATGAAAATAAAAATGTTTTTCGCTATCATGTGTGCGATAAAACTGTCACTGATAACAGGCTATTATTCTAAAGAAAAAGAAAGTAATTTTCACAACAAGCAGAACATCAAACTCATAAAAATCTTGATTACTGTATTTCTTTTTCTTTTTATAAAGCATCTACTGAATTTTTTTCTTCAGGTACGTTATAAAAATATCATAAATTTATGCTCGCTACCGAAGTTTTTCCGAGCAATAATCACATATTATTCACCTGAAATGGTATATAATGTCTGATTCTTATTATCATTCCTGAAGAAAGTTCGCGAAGAAAAAATATTTGCTTGTTTCCATATGTTTTCTCGCAACAATTACTTTTTTGTCAAGACGTTAGGCTTCTGTAGCAATATGATTACATCTGTGTTGAGTTCTTACACGTGTTAAAAGAATCAATTCATATACTAACAGAAGTGACATTTAAAGATGAAATTTCTTTATAATAGAAAAGTTAACTATTTTCAGTTAGCTAAGTTTGTACAGCACAATACGATTATTCAAAAACTATCTTGTTCTGAAAGTTATGAAATGTTTTCAAACAGTTTTATGGATAAAATTGAAAGATAGGTACAAATTAATGGAGTACAAAATGACAAAAAGAAATTGATTTTATTAAGAATAATGGTTATAAGTGGAATAACTTGTGTTTTCAACATGATATTTGTATACGTTAATTAACGTTCTAGAATATGCAGATGTTGTTCTCAGATATTTGAATAAAAAATTTAAGAATCCGGCAACTAGATATTATTTCTATATAAACATAAACAATTATATATATATATATATATAAGGGTGTAAATGAGGTGCCGTCACCTCCTGTATGCTTTAGGCGGAGCAGAGCCTCCATCACAGCCACTACAACTAGCAGAGCATACGCTGGCACCATCGGAACTGGTCACTGAACCGCCACTGCTGCCTCCACCAATAGGCATTCTCGTTTTTGTTCTCTTCAAGATACGATTAATATGAACTGAAGAATATGTGTGCTCGGAAATCTAAAGCTTTTACGGTCTAGATGTCCTTCTTATTACATAAAAAAAGAAAAAAGTGAAAACTGTCAAGGAAACTAATACCGTTTACTATATTTGTGAAGCTCGAACTGAATACCATGGATTCTCTTCGTATTCTTTCGAAAAGATACAACGTGCTTTACTATTGCATAAGACGTCGTCTCAAAGAGAAGAAAAGTACTTTAACAAAAATCTTTTCTTTTCCCCTTTTCGTGACAATAACGATGCGTTTGCACAAAGATAATTTGAATCGCTACTTTCATTTGCGGAGATAAAAATTCGATAAGTAGATGAAGACTAGTGCACTCTCTTGATTGCCACTAGTACGTTTTTTCCAACTTAATATCACAAAACCAATTGAGGGTGTGCGTATGGTTTTGGTGGTGGAGTACGGGTGTGGGATGTGCATGTGGGGTGTGGGGTGTGGAGTTTGGGTAAGGGGGTGTAGATGTGGGTGTAGGTATGTGTGGGTGCAGATGTGGGGTGCTGGGTGTGGGTGTGGGTGTATGCATTCTTGTCCGCTTAAACCTACACCCTCGTCCACGCCCACACACTCGCACCCACAGCTACGCCCACACCCACGCCCACTTGATAAAGATTTGAGTTTACAAACGTCAGAAATAATCTATCTAGCTTATCGTGGTAACTTATGCACATCCACTTCTATTGTGAGTGAATTTACTTGAGTTTTATAACTGCTATAAGTAAATTTTTCAGGAATCATGTTTGGATTCAATATCTTCTTGGATCGATTAGAACTGCTACTGAGGTCACCTGATTAAGATTCGAGTTTAGATACATCAAAAATAATCTACCTAGGTTATCGTCGTAACTTGTACACATCCACATCCATACGACAATGTAGACAATGTTTTACTTGATATATTGGGACTTAAGGGGAAGAAAAGTGCCGAAATAGCTTGAAAGGTCTACAATGGATAGAGCTGGTCGAGATCTATCAATCTTTGTCATTTTCAGCTTTTGGTCAAGCTAGAAGCAAATTTCGGTGCGTTTTTTCATTGAAATACCCGGTATTCAGGATGTAGGCGGATTTTAGGAGACATGAAAGTATTCGAAATATCATCAAAGATGGCCGATGGATGGAGCTTGTCAAGATCTATCGATCTATAGTGTTTTCTGCTTTTGGTCTAAGCTGGGGCGCGAAACCCGGAGCGGTTTTTCATTGAAAAACCAGCGTTTCTGGACGTAGGTGGATTTTAGGGAGATGGAAGTATTTTTAATGTGTTGGAAGCGTTTATTAAATAGATCTCGTTGAGTTGTATCTGCTTGTAAGGTTTTTAAACTTTGGTCCTAACTCAGTGCGAATCGCGGTGCACTGTACAAAAAAAATCGGATTTTTCCCTGATTTTGTTACAGTATTTTGGGTTTTTTTCGGGCTTGAAATGGTGTTGGAGAAAAAGTACATAGAGCATGGGATGGAAATCGTTGAGCTCTATCTTGGTCCGTAGAGTTTAGCCTTTGGTCCCAACTGTGAGCGAATCCAGTTACGGAAAAGTCGAATCAAGACTCAAGATATCCTACATGGCCTAACACCACTTTTACTTGTATGAATGATGAATTAATACTCTCAAGCAAACTGATTAATGAAAGCCATCGAATAATGACAGCTTAACGTATTGAAAGACCACTAGCTGCTTGAATCCCTTTATTGAGACCAACCTAATTAAAATTTAATATTTGGTATGATCTATTAAGTGCAAGACCTAACGCACTTACTTTCTTAATATATTTTGCTAACGATTTTCATTCAAATATGGTTTTAATCCATCGTTGTGCAGCAGGTGAAGCATCAACAAGTTTTGTTTTCATTACATTTTTTTTCTTCAACCTTTACACAAACATTTACGTTCTTCTTTTTTTACTGGTTTGGAAGGAACGCAACACAATTCATCATCATCATAATCGTCATCATCACTACCAGACGTTTTCTTAGGACAAACAGCTGATGATGTTGTCGATTGTTTCTGATGTTGAAAAAATGATCATTTGGGTACGTTATCAAGTCGGTGTCCATAGCAAGAAATCGGATTCATATTTTCATTAGAACTATTTCTGAATGATGTCATTATGTGTTGACACTTATTTTACTTCTAATTCCCTATGTCGCCATTCATTCTCAACCGAATACATACAGAATATAGATGATTATTTTTAATAGATGTTACTATCTTTTACTTCAGAGCTAATATATTTCTGAATATTTTCTTTTCTTTTTCTAGAGTCTACGTAAAAAAAGATCAAATTAACACAATTTTATTTGTAAAAAAATAAAATTATAATTTATATATTTTCACTAGTTTTTTCATATTCTTGAAATTGTTTACAAAATCGATCAAGTACATAATATATATAATCTTTATCTACAACAACTGCCATAACACCAAGATAACAAATTTGTTTAGATTTGTTGCACCAAAAACCAGGTGATATTGGTAAGGATCCATTCTTGTAGGGTTCTTCCAAGACGTTTTTAATACGTGCATGACAGGATTCAGCCACAACTTGAATATGACTAGAAGTTGTTGAACGACAACGAAGAATATTATTAACTTCAATTTTACCCTAAACACTATCTAAAAAATGTATTTAGCACATACTAAATACAAAATATCCATACCTAATCTTCTACATTCTTCAACAAGTCCTCGAAGTCCATTGTCTTCAGTGATAAAAACAGGACAAATATCATTGCATATCCAACATACAATTAAGTCTTTGATTATCTTTGATTGTTCAGCAGTTAATGTTCTACAAATAACTAGTGTTTTTTTCAATAATCTTTTGTGTCATTGACACATTTATTGATGACGATGTTGTTTGAGTTATGAGATCAGTTACACATGGATGCTGCTTCATATGTGTTGTTCCACTATTTGAATCATAAACGAAAGTTTTCTTACATTTTTCACAACTTGTATATCCATTAATTCTCTCAAAAATACAAGTGTTTTTGTTAGGTTTAGCTGAAAAACCAAATATAGACCAATAAAAACCAGCAGGTGGTGAAATTTTATTCTTGATAATAGTATATTGTTGTTTTTCAGTTTTCAATAAATAATAAATACGTTCAATTGAGTATGAAGTTAGTTCTATTGATGATGATTCAGTTACATTTGATGATATTAAAATACGTGAATCAGAAGATGATAAAATATGAATATCATCGGTTGGCATTGTTTCACCTATGCTAATACCTATAAAAATTATTAAAAAAAAGATGAGTATTTTAAAACAACAAAAAAGTTGATATTCTAATATCTTGAAATAAAAATTTCGTGAATATTATTGCATTCTGTGCTTTATTGATTTATTCTATTATTCTATTCATTCATTCATTGTTTTGAACCGATAGACAACTCATCAATGATAAATCGAGAATTAAATACATGAAATCACTAGTTTGTAGCCATCACAATTTTCAATCTCACTACTGGAAACATAATACAAATAAAATAACCTAGACAACCAAGTTTAACCAGGTCGGAAGCTCTGATACATGATGATGCTAACCGAGGTAGCTTTTGAAAATGACTCCTCAGTTTCTATGAGGATCAAAACCGATCTTCATGACAAGACTTCATCCAAATGTCGATTTTTGACGAGGAATATGTGTATGGACAAGAAATGCTTCCAAAAGTGGCCTTAGAAGCCAATACCTCCTGTCTCAAGAAGGAGAGACCGTTGATCTCGGTTTTAGCACGATCGACGACATAAAGCAATGTACTATTGCTTGTGAACTTTGGATATTTTACCCATTCTACACAACGATAGAAGGAAAAATAAAAACAAAATCGTGATATTATGCACATTTTTTGCAACCATCGATTAGCTCTCTCTCTTCATTATTCAAGCTATCTGATCGATAAAAGATAGAACAAGCAAAAGAATCATAATATTTATGTGCGTAAAAAGCCTATCTGTTTCATTAAAATATGGTCTTGCTTTATCCCACGTATACGGTTGAATGCACGCAAGCCAAACATTGTTTCGATATGCACATAAATACATAATACTTTTATTTTCTTTATTAAACAACATCGATAGATTACCAACGTGTTACATTCATCATTACAGTCTATATTGCATTAATACAAAAAGCCCACGTAAGTCTTTTGATATTGCAGTATCTCTCGTAAGCCCTTTTCATCTATCAATGTTCAGAAGATTTTTCTATTCTTAAATGGTACCAGTAATTAAGTATAGTTTATGTGGGCTTTAGATTGTGTCTAAACGTATGAAAAGAAGAAACTGAAAATGAATATTGGCATATTTAGCCAATTTTATGAAAATAGTGATGAAGCTAGTGACTTTTTTCTCGTTTACGCAGAACATTTGTGGCTCTTTTGGAATTTCATGAAAAAGCTGTTAGCACAATACCTTGCGGAATTAACAATGTGAAACACGATGTAGCTGCTATACCCGATATTTTAAAAGCTGTTGTTCTTTTATGAATCCTCATGTATATTTCTTTATAATGGCTTCCCATACAGCGTATAATTTGAACAGTATAATACTCCATATATACTCCAATCAGATATTAGTTATGTATCATACCTGATATTTCCTTGAAGTCCTCTATCACAGTCTATAATGATCCCTGAAACTTGTCTGCCACGGTCTGTGATGGGTCTAGAACCCTGTCTGTCACGGTCTGTGATGGTTCCTGAGCCCTATCAGTTACGGTCTGTGATGGTCCAAAGCCCTGTCTGTTACGGTCTGTGATGAGTTCAGAGCTCTGTCTGTCACGGTCTGCGATGAGTTCAGAGCTCTGTCTGTCATAGTCTGTGATGGGTCCAGAGCCCTGTCTGTCACTTTTGAGTAGGAGCTTCTTTCCAGTATGGCAGTTCGATTGAAGATTAGATCTAGTATAATTAATTTTAAGCTAGGAATTCAACTGAATCCATATTGTTGTAGGGCACAGCCTAGTAAAAAATATTATCGGCTGCTGTTTGGGTAAGTGACCGGATTTCTAGTAGAAAGTTCAACGAGCATGGCGCTGTTTCACAATAGTGTCATGAAAGCGTTTTGCTTCGTGGCCTTTCAGAAAATTGGATATAATCCTTTTTTTTGTCAAATGTTTTTATGACAATAATGTTCATTCGCGGACCCGTATACCATTTTGCATAACGAGATTGACGCTAAAACATCAAAGAGCTGAAAATACAGTCGAGGATCAAGCGAGTCACATGGACGAGCGTTACTTGTTGGATAAGGACTAGTTAAATATTTGAATAGTCGATAAATTATAGACTTTATCTAGAAGAATGTCAAAACTAAATACAAGATAGATCTGTTATATAGATTGTTAAAGACGAGACCCTATATGCTCATATAATAAGACATTCAATATTTACTATTTTCTAAAATTTTAAATATCGTGATCAGAACTTTTGGTTAGTCCTAAGTAAGTAACATGACTTTTCAAATATTCTGACTCCACTACGATTTTTTGTGATTTTATTGGTCTTGATGAGCTTGCTGATTCTGAAATCACTAGAATCATTTGAGTTAGCTGTCTCTTGCTAGGGATGAAGTCATTCCTTGATCATAATGTCTTCTCTTCAGTGCTATCTTGATGCCTACATATTCCTTTGCGTCCATGGCATCAACACAGAACTGTTTCAAGCAAACAACGATCCTGGTTTTTTTTCTTCGCTCGACAGAACGTTTAAAAATGATCTTTTCTTAAGAAACTGCTCAGCCTTGCAGTTTATCATCATTGGGATTCATTTTACTTCTGTAGAGCTAATACTGTGGCATTGAAATCGATGCAATCGTGCGAAGAAATGAAAGATTATGATGAAACCTTCATGTAATTTCGAAACGTGTTCTGTCAGTTTAATGAGAATTCGAGTACTGAATCATGTTGTCAAAGTTCATCTGGCTTCACTCTCAGCATGAAAAGAAAACAGTATCAATGGTAATAACTGCCTATTTGATGAAAATATTGCTTGGAAAGAAAAATATTGATTGAAGACTTATTGATGATGACTGGTAATTGCTATGATTACCTACAATAGTCAGTCTTTATTTTTCTTTTGAATAGTTGCCGATAATTATGAATGATTGCTTCGATCGGATCTCTCTCGTTCGAGGTTGTTTTTCACACTAGTGTTTCTATTTACTCGTAAAAAAGAAAGTTCTCGATCGCGTACTGTCCTTATAAAAACCTTCATCATCTCTGATGTTTTTCATTCAGAAATGTTCGTCTCCTTTTGGCTATTCGGTCTTGGCCTCATTCTTTTTCCACATAAATCGACACAACAAAATCTCTCGTCTTATATAGATGGCTATCGATCATCTTATGAGTTTTATCCTGATGGTAACATGAATCTTATTATTTCGGCACCACATGGTGGTAATGTGAAGCCAACTGATGTGCCAGATCGATCATCCGGTGGCTGTGGTCGCAAACCAAACTCAACTGCTTTTTACTGCACATGGAATTACAATGATACGTGTGTCGAGAATGCTAATCCTTGCGATTTAGGAGCCACTAGAGATGTGCTTACTGATGAGTTTGCTCAAAATATAGCAAATGAATTATATAAAACATGGGGCTACAAACCCTTCGTAGTGCTTGGCGTATGGTCACGTGGAAAAGTTGAATTTAATCGACCGATTATCGAAGGAACATTGCAACAGCCTGAATCAGTTGCTAGTTTTCAAGGTTATCATTCATTTATCAGTCAGACCGTTGACCAAATCAAACAACAGTTTGGCACAGGTCTCCTAATTGATCTTCATGGAAATGCATACAAGTAAGTCCGTAATAGATATTGATGGATGTATGTTATCGATTATTTGTAAAAGATGCGAACACTCATGAACATTTCAGTGGATTGCTCAGGTTGACTCAGGGAAACAGCCAAAATTTTAGACGTGAATATGCTAGCCAAAGAAAATCTGAAGAACCGTATTTTTTCTTTTATGCTAGTGTAAGAAGGTCTATGATGCTGAAAGTTTATCTAAGTCGACTCGGGCTATCTGCTAGGGAATGGGTGTCTGGAGGTTCATGTCTATTATAAAAATCCCATATCATATACAAAATTGTTTATTTGATTTAGTTACACTATGGCTGGCTATCTCTTGAAGTCTAAACATCTTAGTGTAAATGATCTAAATACACTTACAGTGAATTCATCGATCGAACCAATTTGTGGATCCGATCGCAACGAATGCATTCGTGGTCTATCTTCATTTGGCACAAAACTCGAGCAAAAGGGACTCGGCGTTGTTTATCCATCGTTTGCAAATCCCAAACCAGGAAACCTTACCTATTTCGAAGGTGGCTACATCACGAGCAACTACATTTCAAAAATCAATGCCATTCAAATTGAATTACCCGCTGCTATAAGTTCAACAAGAAACCGAACTGACAATGCGAAAAAATATGCTCAAGTTATTGTTGAATACATGAGCGAAAGAAATATATTACGATTAAATACAACTGGCACATAATTCTGAGAAGAACACTAAATTACAAGAAGAACATTAACATTCAGCTTTTGAGAACTAATTCTAACCACATTGAATTCATCAATAAATTTTCCATCCAAAAATAAAAGCGTTGAATTAGAGTAACTCTTATTTGGCATAATTCTTTGCTCAAATATAGCAGCTAAATGCGATAACAGAAGTAGAGTCAACAAAGAAATGTATGATCGTTGTTGGACCGATATCTTTATAGCAAACAAATGTATAAGAACGAGGTAGAGAACAGCAAAAATGGTAAGTTAATTCACTGAGTAAACGACATAAAAATTATACAGAGGAAAAAAAATGTGTAGAGAAAAATGAGTTGCAATAAGACGTAATAATGCGCTGAACAAATGGGTGTAAGTGTGGGTATGGATTCAAGAAAAGTTCTTGTTACATTGACATCCACAGCCACAGATGCACCCTACTCTACACTCATCCACGCCTACAGTACACTCGCCAATACCACCAGGGCTGGAAACGAGCCACTTTTTCATGGTCCGAACCGGCGCAAAGTGTCCCAAAACTAGTTCAACCCCGCTCGACCCGACCCGGCACTAAAGAAAATGTTATTTAAATAAAGGTTTTTTTGGTAAAAACCGATCTTTAAAAGCAGCCTTACAGTTTGAAAGAAACTTCTAATGAATACACTATTAGTTTACTGACAAATTCATTAGGATCAGTTGATGCCAATA